TATGCTTTAAGCACTGATTTTAAATACACTCATGTGTCCCAGTTATTCACTGAAAATTTGCTTTCTGGATGCTATTTACACATGGTTCTGTAATTCTTAAATGGTGGAATAACTCTGTATCTCTAACAGATGCCAAAATGTAGCTGAACTGATACATTAAGAAAGCTGGCTTACTGTACAAAGAGTTAATATATTCTTATTGGAATGCTTCTTAGGCAGGTTATGAATTTTTGTTGTTGTTGTTTTGGAAGATGAGCATTCCCAGAAGTATTTTTAGAAGTGGCCTAAAAAAGGTCAGTTCCATTTTTCTTATTAACAGTCTTCTCAGTGAACCAACGCATCAGGCAGGTCCTGCTCCTACCCTGCAGAGATTACTCACTCTGCTGAAGTCTGTGTTGGAACATTTTCCTTACATGCCCTAAAACAAGTAAGATGCTACGCTATAAACACTCTGAAAAAGGACAGAGAAAGAGCAGATACTGCAAACAGTATCTTTATATAAGGGCTCAGGAGAAGAGTTCACAACTCTTTCCTGCATAGCCATGTTTCAGAGCAGATATAAGTGGAATTGGAAAACAAGCCTTCTCTACCTCTGTCTAAAGACCTGAATCAAAGGTAAAATTTTGGCAGCACAGTTTAATCTGTCCTTCTGCATTCCATCAAGAGGATTCACTTGCAGCTGATGTGAGCAGATCAAGGGATGGCAGTAATCAGGAATAAAAGGTACCACCAGTGAGTCTGACTCCTACCTCATCTTCCTTTCACCTTTTCTTCAGCCAGCTCTGGGCTTTCAGAAACAAAAAGCATATAGTCACCTAGAACATCCTGGCCTGCAAACAGAAAATGAGAGCTGCAGGAACTACTGCACCTAGAACAGTAAGAGTGCCAACATCACACAAACGCTTGGCACTTTGATTTTACTACTGAAGAATGCCTATCTGTAAAAATTGCATCAGTGGTACCTACAGGCAAACAAAATCTGTGTCCTCATTAGAAGAGTCTGCCTGTAATAAAAAGCCCGGTAGGGGGGAAGTGAGGGGATGGATGGCTATTTGAGCTGGGATGCCAGTTTTGCAAAGGTTTGATGCCAGCTACCATTCAGTTTGTTCTTGGAAGGCATTCGATAAGCTGCTGGTTGCTTGGAGGAAGACTGAAACACGCCGTAGCATTCAGTTCTGAAATCTGAAGTACTTCTACTTTACCTCTTCTGCTTAGTGGTACAGCACACAAAATTGGATGTTGGTGAACTGAGATGAACTGGTTCAGTGGTAAGCTGTCCCTTCCTATAAGAATGGCTATAATGCTTCTCTATTTTATGGCTAAGCAGATTCTGCTTGTGAAAAGGGACAAGACCTCACAACCTACCGTTCCCAGGATATACGCCTCCTAGCATTTTAGCAAAAAGGTAATTTTGGCTAGCTATACAAGGAGATTAACACTAAGAGGATATGTAGGCTGCTGCCATGGGAAGAAGCTCACCATCCCTTGAGCGCTTCTGACATAAAACCCACTAACAACACTCCCTTCATCTCTCTAAACGAGAAGAAAAAGCTCTGAGTACTTGGTGTCTAGATGGTGAATGCAAAATGCGACAAATCCACGTGTTTCTAAAGCAAGAGTCTATATTTTCTCTAGGAGCAAAAATTCTTCCTGCTGCTCTCCTTGGATGAATCCTTTCCTTCCCTTTTATCTTTACTTTGGTGCAAGGCTTCAGGCTGAAGATATGCTGTTCCCTCAAAAGATGATTTCAGTGTATTAATTCTGGTGCTAATGAGAGGAAATTCTGGCACATATTTCTGGATCCTGAACAGTTCTTCATTCCCAGTTTGTTAGTTTAACTACTGAGAGACAGCCAGGACATGTTTTGGGGCAATTCTTGTCTTGGATAAAGCCACAAGGTGTCAGTCACAAGGGCAGTCTGCTGGGCACTTGTAAGCAATTACACATTGATCACAGTGATACATTGATGAAAGTGATAATATCTAGTAATTGCTGTGCAGTAATTACAGTTAGAATTACTGCTGGATAACAAACCCATCCTATGGCAATCTGGCCACGTGAAGTCCATTAAATTTAGCATGAGTCCTGGGCAAGGTATCAAGAATGGGATATGTACCTGGCTGACAGAGCAATCTGGTGCTAATTTAACCACTGAACTTGAATAGGAATGGGGTCAGGTACTAGTGAGCAACTTGTAACTCCATGAGCTGAAAAGGCTTTTCAGCTTTGCTTTTACAAAGGCAAACATTGTCCTGCACTGAAGTATACTAGGCGAAACAGCAGACTTTGGAAGGATTAGGCCCCAAGTAAAGATGCATGAACAAATACTAGGCAGCTCTGGTCGCTCAGCTAAGCATTCTTCATCTCATGCTTTGCTCCTCGTGTGCGCCAAGGGCTGATTTATTTGAAACGAAATCCATGAAATGTGCTAATACCTGCTTTGGTCTTGATCAGGTTTAATGTAATAACCTCATCTTGTTTCCACTGATTTTGCTGAGCAATTTGACACACTTAAAACTTTTATGTCTCATGAATAGCTAATATTAGCCTACAGATGCCTTTTTTTGTTAAACGTGAACCACCATCAAACTGCCTGAAACAGGAATTATTTTCTTCCCCTGTTGGGTGTGATCAGATGGTCTTATTCTACCACAAATTAGCAATGAGGAGCTTGTAGTAATTCCAGAGTTATTGCTGCCAGGAATCATACATCAGACAATGACTTCCTTATATTTTCCTCTTACTTTCCTGTTCCTCGCCATATTTGATTTCAGCTGTTGAAAGCTGTCGATGTGGAGGCGATGGAAGTATGCTTGTGGGCTGTCTCTTGGTGAGAAGCAGAGGAGAGTGCATTCAGTTTGCATGTATGTGTGTGCTTTCATACATGACTCATGATGTGTGCACACAATCATCTCTTAGAAAAGTAGAAAGCAGTTAGGTTTTACTGAGCTATTTCTGAACAGTACGCTGTTCTTTAGTAACTGTGGTACAATGTGTATATTAGGGAGAAGCTCTTAAAAATAAACAACTATTTGTTAAAAGATTGTAGGTATTTATAGTAAGGGCAGACTGTTACCAGACAGAACTGTGAAGCTGGTCCATTAATGATGAAGGCTGGATCATCTCCTAGTTCAAGAAGGAGCTTAAGAAAGTTTTTTCCTCCCATCCAGTCTCGCAGCTGGATTCCAGCTATCCCTACGTACAGTACATTAGGGCATAATTATAGCATGGCACTATTCAGTGTGTGAGGCTGCCACACTGAGTAACGAGCAATTAGGTGACAACAGAGAGAGGGGGAGGGAGACCAGAAAGAGGGTTGGGAATAGGGAAATTTTCAAACTCTTATGTGGAAGGAATTATTTTCTCTGCACTCACCGTCAGCTCCAAGGCTTCATTCAGGAGGCCGTTGCGCTTGCTGTGAAGATAAGCGTTGGAACTACCCGTTTTGGCCACTCGAATCCTTGCCAGTCGAGCTTTCTGTGAAGACAAGCAAGCTGAATTTATACTTTGGCACATCGAGTAATCAGTCCTGTGCTGTCTATGCCAGAGAAGGAAATTTATGGTTATTTATGGTTCTCATCATACCAGAAAAACCCTGGGGGTGAAATACAAGGAGTACACAGGCAGGACAAGTCTGATGTCAAGAACAGCTAACATAGGTCTGTTCCCAGTTTGTCTGTAGGACTCAGATGACTACGTATATCTGAAGAACAGTGTCTGCCACAATGTGTTAATGCTCTTTCCAGAGGTAGGAAATAGGGACCCTGCCTGTTTGTTTATCCTTTCATGTGTTGTTCATTTTTGGAGAGTGAGATGTATAGCAACTAAAGACACTTGTCTTAGATGTGTCCTTGGCATGAGAGGACTGTATGAGAAGGAAGACTGTGTGATGTAGCAGCATACACGTGGTCTGCATGCATGTTGTGCTCATGACTGACCTTCTGTCTAATGTGCTTGACTATGTATCTTTTTATCTGTCTGTCTTTATCTTTCAGCTCTGTGCTCTGAGGCCTGTGGGTCTGCTTGGTCAGCGTCTAGCACAGTGACACCTGGGCCTTAGTGATGCTGTAGATGCTGCTGCAATGCAAGCGGCTAATGAGAGCCTCTCAGACAGAGATTTGGTACTTTACTCCGCTTACCAGCCAAGTAACATAGAATGTTAATTTAAAATTGGAAAATACTAATGAAAAAGTCTACATATATCATTCTGCAGTAGTTTTTGGAAAGGTACCTTACTTGTTCCTCTGTCCTCTGCAGTGGCAGTAGTAGTTTATTAGCTTTGGTATCTGATAATATAAGCCTATGTTTATCCAAAGATACACATCTCTTGACAGACAGACATAAGTTACTCAGCAACAACATGGAGTCTCAACTCCAAAAGAACAAACCACTCTTCTCAAATATTTATCCCTCACCTTCTTGACCCCTAGAAAGACAAATTAAATTCTAAAAAATGGTCCTGAATAAGGCAAGGAAGAAAAACTAATAAGACCCTCTTCCCTTTTGTTCATACAGTTTTTAGCTTTCCACTTTGTCCTTTCAAATGCTGCCTGCTTTTCTGTCAAGAGCTGATTTGCCTTTTTATTTTTCACTGTTAATTTATGACTCAAACACCATTAAAAGTAAATACATGAAATAGCTGTGGCTATTAAAAAATAATTACATTGTGCTGTATTTTAAAATGCATAATCTTTTAAATAACATGGAACTCGTGATTTTCCTCTCTAATTAGAGGTGCTAATGGGTATACACTGTAGGAAGGGTAAAGCCAAGAGGCAAATATCTGTAGTGGGTCTAGAGAGTGTAATAATTCTAGGAGCTCTATTACTGTACATGCGTGAGTTTCTCTGCCCCTCCATATTTAACCTCAAGAGCTTCTGCTTAAGCATGCAGTTTCCCAGGCAAAAACATGTGCAGGATACAGTTTTGCAGCTTTACTTAGGAGGCACAGACAGTGACCAGTCTGGAAAAATAGGCCCACTTTTGTCACCCCAAAATGTGGACATCCACAATAGAATTTCTCTTCTGTATTTGGCCTAGATTTCATTGACTCATTTTCACATTAGGACTCCAAGTCAATATATGAGCATGAAATCTCTGATGAAGCTTACTTTGTACGGGTCCAAAGTATTTTACAGGGCTCTATGGTGACCCTGTGAAAGGTTCGTGAGTTGTATTTGGAAGGATTAGACTGAGGATACAAAAAGAAAATGAAATTGGATCTTCAGTTTTAGGTCTTCCCAAACCGCTGAGTGTTCTGTGCCCTCAGTAAAAACTGGCCGGAGACTGGAATCTGGAACAAAAAATTCAAAGACTACATAGGCAGTGGTAGACTCTACCTTAGCCCCAAACAAAGCAGTTAACGTTCCCCAAGTTGGACAGGTGACACAGACCAGATTAAAACTTCTGCTGTTACAGGAGGTCTGTAACTCTGATGCCAAAGTCAGTACTGGATGACAAAAGACCTAATAAGTCTCAGTTTGATTCCTTCCCACCTTCAAAATATGATTGGGAGCCTGAGGAACAGCTGTTTGGCAGCAGACACAATGTGAAGTACATTTCTTATGGCCATTAGTGGTTTCCTACAGCAAAGGAGCAAGGAAAAGTTGCCATATGCTCTTAAATGAATATGTAGGTGAGATGGATACCACCCAAAGAGTAGCTGCCTCTATTAGCTGTTAGACTGCTAGGCTTTTTCAGGTGCTCTCTCCATAAATGAATGAGAGGGACCACAGGGGACAATCCAGAGAAGTATCCAAAATGGAAAAAATGAATTACTGTCTGCAAGTCCTGTCTGGAACTGTTTTGTGAAATAAAGATTCTACATGCCCCCAAAAGAGATTAGAAGCCAGGAATTATGGGTAAGAGCCAAGTCACAACCTGTGCTGAACAAGGTATTTATTGACACTAGTGGAGTTTCTCTGAGGCAAATGTGAAGGTGAGGTAGAGGCAGGGAGCAGAGGGTTAGAGACTGAAAGACAATGGCATGTAACGGGGAGATGGAATAGTCCCCTATTCCTGTTAATTGCATTTCTACTAAGTTATTTCATCTCTTTTCAAACTGTAAGTCTTTGTGTCTCTGTTCCTCACTTTTCACAATTATCTTATCTCTTCCTGTTATCAGGACTGGATATTGGATATAGTGATGCTCTGATGGCAACCACAGAAGGCTTTTATGTCCTTTCTGTGATTGACAAAATATCAGCTCTTTGCTGCAGGAAGTACAAGAGTCCCCCAACATACCAACCTCACATATAGCAGGAAAGATTTCATCGTCATCTTCAGTTGCTATCATCATCAGTTCAGTTAATTGTTAAAGTGGATTCAGTCCTAGGCTCTCGTAATGAACATCATTCCCTTTGCCTCCAGGCTAGCAGGAGATCAAATATTAATAGCTGTACTCCACATGGACTGGAGATAGTTCGTCTCCGAGATCTGTTCTCTTTTCTTCTTTGAAACAGGGCCACTAGCTATCTAAATAATTAAGCCCCACAGCTTTTGTAGTTTAGAACAGACATTGTTATTTTAAAAAATGTCAGTGGGGAAGGATAGGAATTAATCCTATTTTCCTACACAAAAGACTGTCTAGGATAGTCACACCACCCAACTCTGTGTCCTCATCATGATTAAATTTGGTAGATATCTTGATTAACTTAGCTAGAGAAGTTAATTAAAATTGGTGTGCTTTTACAGATCAGGTGAGGAGTAAACTACAGAAGCAAAAGCTTTACACTTGGAACGACCCACACAAGCTTTGAAGGCCCAGTTTTTTGCAGAGAACCCTACACTATGTACTATCACATACTTCAGTGTCAGAAACCTAGAGATTTAGGCTGGTGGGGTCTTCCCAATGCTGTCTTTTTTTTAACACTTGTGGGTATATTTTTGTGATCTTAGACCTGTATTTACAGAAATCAATATTTCTGGTCTCTAGGACAGAAGACACAGGCAAGCACAGGGCCGTGTTTTTCTGGCCATCTGCTGCAAATGTCTTTGGGAGAGGAATACCTGACTTTTGCATCTTATCCCACAAATGTGACTAAAGGTCATTAGGGCCAGGCCTGAGATCATTGTTACTGGATATAACCCTGCACAGATAGTCTAAAAAAGGAAAAGAAAACGGCACACTGTGTCTGCATGTAGAGTGGTAAGAGGAGTTGCTAGGAAACCACAGGATCTCAAAATTCGTATGACCTAATCTGGAAGATAATTTATATGATGAAAATAATAATACTAATGAAAGCCACTTACAGGTTAGAATGACTAATTTGGTTATCTTAGTGCCCACGTGTTTCTGAGAGCAGGATGGAAGGAAGGCAGGTCTCAGTAACTTCTGGCTCCTTGCAGCTTTTTAAGGTATGAAGACAGAGAAACTGGAAAGGGCAGTGAAGCCAGCTGTACATGGGGAATGCTGAGATATGGTAACAAAGATGATGTAAGTGGATACCAGCATCTAGGGTATCTACATTTCACAAACAAAGGAGAAAGGGAATAGTCTGTCTTCATCATTTAGCTGCTTTGGAGAAGTGCAACGAGCAGGAGTTACAGGCTAGGAAAAATGCTTACCAGATGGCAGGCCCAGGAAACAGCTAATTATTATTTATTAATGATTTGCATCTAGTTCTTATGGAGATAATATTCACTCTTGATTTATGTGGTGTAATAAACTATTAAGTTACAACTTAGGACACAATTTCATATTTGCCAGACATCTTCAGATTTCCAGATCTTCTGTCCTGTTGAGCAAAGGGGTAGACTGGAGTGCCTGCATATGTCAGGTATTACAGGTACAGGTCCTGTGTCCAATTCTGCTCTTTCTTTGGGCTGGGAGCTGTTAGGAACGTTATCCTTCCTATCTAATTTTAATCTGTTAAAATCACACTAAGAGCATTCTTGGCAGAAAGTGCAACTACATGAGATAATGAACAGATACTTCTCTTTTTTTTTTATTGCTAAATAATTAGCAGTTTCAATATCAGTAGCGCTACTGGTGATGAATTCAGTGAGTCCAGTGGTGGAATATGTGTACGCTACTGATCTTTTAATGTTTGCATGTCTGAAATGAAGTTATTTTTAAATATAACGAACAGAATACTTCTGCTCTGTTTTTTTAGCTCCAAGATACAATATCACAACCATTCACTAAGTGCTGGATTTTCTTGATCTTTAGCACTTGTCTGCACCTGTTGCTAGTTTGGGTTTGCACTTAAATTCTAGATGGAAGGAACATGGTTGATTTTTTGCATATTGAAAACAAGCAGATTGCATATTTAAATGGGAGTTTCTGGAGAAATAACAACAGGGCTTGGAGTATGGAATGACAGGAAGTATTTTCTTTTAGTTATCTTCAGCACTTCCTAAAATGATCTTGTCTGTGACACCTTTGACTAATTTTAACATTTAATTCAGAAAGGAATTCGGCAAAGACTTACATTTGTACTTCTTACTAGGACCTCAGTGCACATACGTAACTCGAA